CCACAGTAGTCTCTCCCTGCTGGTCCTGCTCGGGCTCGACCCCAGACCACCACCTCACTTCTTGCTGGGATCCTGACCCCTCGCCGCTGAGCTGGCCAAACGTATCCCATGAACTCTTCCTCCGTGGCAACAGCAGTCCTCTGGCAAAGAAAGAAAGCCTCCCGCCAAGCCCGTTGAGACCTTGGGTTTTGGCAGCAAAAAGACAATGGCTTCCCAGGATTACGAAAAACCACATCCCAGCAAGGTCTGATTGTGTTCATGCCAATAATGAAGGGATTCGTGGAGCATTCATCAGTCACTATAAAAACACCTTTTTGGTTAATTTCAACACCCTCAATCTTAAAGTCCATTAGGGCGTAGCCTATGCAGGGAATCTTGAGGCCATTTGCCGCCTTAAGCTGGACGTAAGTGGGAACATTATTAACATCGCAGTCAGGGAAGTGTTCGAGGAACAGGCTCTGCTGCATCAGTGTCACTTGGGAGCCAGTATCGAAAAGTCCCTCCAAACAAACTCCTCCCACCGACACATCCACATATGGGCAATTCCCCACTAATTTAGTTGTGGCCTCTTGATCTTTTTGAGCTGACCCCACTGCATGGGCCCCGACAGTAGGGTGTGCTAGTTTAAAGCTGGCTGATTGACAGAGGCCCCTCTGCAAAATCGGGCTATATGACCAGATTGTTTGCATGTCATACAAATGGGCCTACCTTCCTCATCCCACTGGTAGTTGGTGCGACGGTCCTGGTTCCGTTTCCCCCAAGGATATGGAGAGTTGGCCCTGGGACTTACTGATGTTCGTGCAGAACCAGTTGGTTGCTGGTCTTTGATTAACTCACGGGTAAGGTCCTTTATCTGGGTCTTCACCTCCTCAATCAGCTCCTTCTTCAGCTACTCTTTCCATGCGTTATTCTGTTGGTGAGGATAAAAAGCATTAGGATCTCTTACCGCAGCACATGTCACTTCAGGCCATCTAGGACTTTGTTCTTCTTCCAATAGAAGAGCCTCCTGTTGAACAGCACTGAAGGTTGCATCAGGGTCCAGGCGCACAACCCTTTTTAACATCTGAAGTATGTTACCATCCTCCAGGCCAAGCAGGAATTGGTCCCTAAGGTGGGTATCAGTGGGTGCTTCTGTTACATCATGCTTACGTAATTTTTGGTACAGCTCTCTCAACCGGAGCCCATATGCCTGGACAGGCTCCCCCGGTTTCTGCACACAACCAAAAAATTGTGACCGTAAAGCAGAGACGGGGACCTTATTTGTATACAAGTTATCTAGAATCGAAAATATTTTTGTCACCCTATCACGTTCATCATCACAGAGCACATTAATTTGACGTCTGGGTAAACCGGAAAGGGCACCAATCAAAATCTTTACCTTATGTGATTCAGGTAAGTCATTTGCCTCTAACAGACCTTGCATTTGCTCCTTCCATTCATTATATGTAGCATCATTTTGCAAAAGAGTTTGTTAAAAAAAAAGTTCGCTAAATAAAATAAGTTGAAGGGAAAACGATCAAAAAAATGCAGGGCAGTTAGGAACAGCAAAGTCAGTGGGCAGTCTGTAAAAAGGGGTGTACTCTTAGCTGACGCGATGGAGCATGCGGTCCTCCAACACGCCGGGCCGTTCTCTCTCTCTCTCTCTCTCCAACACGCCGGGCTGTCCTCTGTCTCCAACACGCCGGGCTGTCCTCTCTCTCCAACACGCCGGGCTGTCCTCTCTCTCCAACACGCCGGGCCGTCCTCTCTCTCCAACACCCTGCGCGGTCCTCACTGCACGGTCCTCTCTCCGTCTGCAGCTCCTTTCCCCCGTGCTCTGTCCGGCTTTCTTCTCTCTTCTTCAACTGCGCAGCTGCCTTTTATCACCAACACCACCGTCTGTATGCTGCTCAGCTGATGAAGAACACCTGTGCTGTCGCCACGGGGTCTCCGGGTACATGTGGCAACAACACCTCAAAACCAAAACAAAATCAGAAGAAAACATGCAACACAGCAAACCCAAACTAAATCCAACACGAAAAGCAAACAACTTCAAATCAGAAAAACAAGACATGAAACCAACTTCAAAATAAAACAAAAGAGCCACATTAGGCTACCACATTTTAGTTTTCACATATTTCAGAGAGACTATAGCCTGGTTTCAACAGGTTTTATTAAGACTGAAAAACTGCCACTAAACACTTCTTAATCACTCAAATGGGAAGTTTTTGTATAGTTCTTTTCTCTCATTAAATTTATCCAGAGTGCTATTTTGCTTGATTCATGATGTCTGAGTATTCCTCAGGAAATATGCTCTCTGAGCAGCATCACTTCTCCATCCTATACGAGTGTCCATCACCATTTTACGGAAATGTGATAACCAGCTCACTTCAGGAAGCACCTACCTTGATTGCACAGTTTAGTTGCAGTCTGCCTCTAAATTCAGAACAATTTCTAGTGTTCTTTTTCCCCCTTCAGGAATGGTTTACAGTTTGTTAAAGTAAAATTATATTTTTGTTTGAGACACTCTGTTTATCTCCTTTCAATCGATTATTTTAGTGTTGTTATCACCCTTGAGTTTAACATTTTCTTGCACTTCCCTGTTGAAAGTCTTTTCGCTTCTCTTGATCCCATGGGCAATCAGTGAACATTATTCGTTCACGTCACATTTCAGCCTTACTCAGCTACTTCTCCTTACTCAGCTAGTGCCTAAACACTTTTAGCCACCACATCCTTTTGACTCAATACAGCTACTCAGGACTGATGCAAACTTTCCTCAACTGGCAGTTGATGCTAGTCAGGCAAAAATGCAGTGGTGTGTTGCTAGCGTAACTAGCTTCAATCTTCCTTCTTACTAATGCATCAATTCTCTTACCAAACTCTTAGATTATTCCATGTGTAGGAGCACTTTACCTTGTTTTTCTGTTTTTATCTCCACCAGGGAGTGCTTTTCCTTTTTTGCTTTGATATTTTTGAAGGCGGGTGGTGTTATTTAAGGTCAAGGGTCATTCTATTCAGGTGTTCCTAAATGAGGAGAGGCAAATGGTTTTCTACTGTGCTTAGCTAAAAGTTATGTTGTTTTTATTTTGTTCTAAATGTAAATTAAAAGACAAAGGACCTAGGAAAATAAATGACTTTCGGAATAACTCTATAAAAGACCTGGGTATTTTTGATTGAGCACATGTACAGTAAGGCCAAAGCCTACCAGCAGAGAAAGCGACCAGTAGCCAAAAATAAAGGATTTTAGCGGCTCAACCATTACTTTAGATTTCTTCTAATAAATTACATATCATTGTCCACAGCCTGCATTCTGAAATCTTAAAGACAATGTTCAAATCTTGCCATCCTGTTTTAATCAAAAGAACCTGCACAAAAAGTTTTACTTGTCAAAACAAATTAAGATATTCTTTAGATGGGAGTAATTTTATTTATTTAAATTACAAGTTCAGAAAATCTAATCATTAATTAGAGAATTAGAATTATTCTCAAGTAATGTATAATAAATCCTGAATTTAATTACATACAAATGTGGTAAATGCTAAAAGTAAACCTGTCATTGTATTTCTTTGACTACTTTATAGTTAAACGATGAATGGGCAATGATCCTTAATCATGAGAAATTAATTACATTTTTGGATAAATAATAACATTATTAGCTAATTGAATTTGTCAGTCTTTTTAGCAAGAAAAGAATGTGTCCAGAGAATAGAAGATTTAGTTAGACTATTATATGTATACTATATTCATTTTGGCAGCTGTATTAATATTTGTGCTGTCAGTAATTGCTTGAAAAAGGTTTTGTTAACATTTTTTTTTAGGTAACTGGGTTATATACATTGGTTTTGCGTATAAGATTAGGATTGGTTGTGTTTATGAAGCTAATATAAAATTGTCACTAATTTGCTTTTCTTTTAATTCCAGATTTGACCATTGGAGCTCAGACCCTGATAAACAAATCAGGCTCTTAGCAAATCTCTTCTGTGTAGCAGCAAAGACAGAGCAGGATACAGGGGAGAAGATGGTGGAACAATTAGCATCAGTCTGCTCATATAACTTTACTGTAACTAATGAAGACACATGTTATGAATTTGATGAAGAAGAGCATGTGGAATATCAGTGTCGGTGTCATTTTCTGTTGGAGCTGTACTCCCAGCTGAAGAACCATGGGACTAAAACATGTCTTAGTCTACTTCCATCATTACAGTCAGTTTTCCAGTCAGCTCCTGCAGTCTGGACCATAAACCTCTCAGAGAGAAA